CATGAAGAGAAAAACAAACCAAGGAAAACAACTCCCTCGCCACGATGCAGTGTTTTGGATTTGCCTCTTCACTTCCTTCTCAGTCCCCTGTGGGTGTGAAAGACTCACCAGCTCTCACGCACCCCACGGGAGATGGCTCAGCCCCCCCAGAGGGGACCCCAGACTCTGCCTCCAGCAGTACAGGCACCCTCAGCGGTTCCCACACCCCCCCAGCCTGCACCCACACCCGCCTCCCCACCGGAGAAGCCAGGGGACACTCACCACAGCTGGAGAAAGAAGGAGCCCCAGGGGCCCAGGAGCTTCCACCCACTTACCAAACAAAGCACGCAAGAATCAGAGGAAGCAGACAGCCAACTCCAGCAAGCCCAGCAGCAGAGGCACAACAAGCTGGTGGGCTTTATCTGCTCCGTCTGCCTCGTGGGAGGGTTTCAGGTCCTGCTGAGGACCTCCAGGTGGGTGTGCTGGCTCATCAGGGGCTCCGATCAGCTGCTCTCTATCGGGGTGGTTGGTAGATAGCCAGCTGGAGGTGTCAAACGGGCACCAGGCTCCTGATCCCAGCTGCAGCCTACGGAGCAGCGGGGGATCAGACAGCAGGGCTGTCACAGGAGCACGGCAAAGCAGCTGGGTTTCTCACGAGGCCGGTCCCTCGAGGAGGTCCCTCTCCGGCACCTGGTCCCTGATGCTCATGTCCCTTGTGGGCACCTCCGCCAGACACCACGGGGGCTGGTCAGTGGTTCGAATGCTACCCACTGGGCATCGGTTCAGGAGGTTTTCATGTGCTTGGAGAAGTTACTTTACCTTTGAAGATGGCACCTACTCATTCGGGTACACACCCTTAGCTGCAACACACGCTGTCTTTGCCAATAATTACTGTTATTTACATATACCTTGAGAATACGTAGCAGATGGAAAGCACAAACGGCCTTCAAAGCCAAGGCTGTTGCACAGATAAAAACTTGCACAACAAGCGGTTGCAGCACCTGAGGTGTGGAGTCTCCTCCTGCTCCTGCACCAACCCATTCCACCTGAGCCCCTCTGTGGTCAGGCCCCCCGTCCAGGCAGCAGCTGGTATCATTTAAGAAATCAAAGCTTTATGTTGGCAGCAACAATCATTCAAGAAAATGATTTTTTAGAAGAGCAAGATGCAGTAAATAAATCTTCAGATGTGTAGCTTAAGATGTAAAGCAATCTCTGTCTATAATCAAAATGGTTTGTTAAAGGGAGCTCAGCTGACGGGAACACCTCTTCCATTAGTTTCTGCGTGATCTGGAGCGCTAACAGATCCCAGGATGGAATTAAGGGAATAGAAGA